AATGGAATGGAATGGAATGGAATGGAATGGAATGGAATGGAATGGAAGGGACTTCAAAGTTCATCTATTTACAACCTCCCTGCTGCAGGCAGTGTTGCTAACCACTAAATCAGGTACTAGATCAGGCAGCTCAGGGCTCCATTCAACCTGGTCTTGAACATCCCCAGGGATGGGCACACACAACTTCTCTGGACACCCTATTCCAGCATCTCATTATCCTCTCAGTAAAAATTTCCCCTGGTATCTAATCTAAATCTCCCACCTTTTATTTTAAAACCAGTCCCCCTTGTCCTATCACTATCTACCTGTCTGAAAAGTTTATTTCCCTCCTGCTTATTAGCTCCCTTTAAGCACAGGAAGGCAGCAATGAGATTTCCCCTGAGCCTTCTCTTCCCAGGCTGAACAAGTCAAGCTGCCTCAGCCTGTCTACATGGTAAAGGTACTCTAGCCCTTTGATCGTGGTCCTTCTCTGGAACCATTCCAGTTCCAAAGGCGGTCTTGGACCTGCTTTTCTCTTAAAGTGAAAAGCTTTTAAGGCCAGGTTGGATGGGGCTTTGAGCAAGCTGGTTTAGTAGGAGGTATCTCTGATCATGACAAGGGAATTGAAACTGGATCATCTTTAAGGTACCTTCCAACTCAAACCATTTTAAAATTCTCTGATTCTATGATCTTTATTTCTATCAAGATTGCCAAGAAATAATACAGGATGGGAAATATTAGGAATTTATACAGTGTTGGATAATAAATATTGAGACTTGTCCACCATGTTGCACTGCCATGTCAGAACACATTCAGCAACACCATTGAAGCCATCTTCCCAAATTTTATATACTCACTATCCTGCAGGTCTCCCTTGGGTAAGTACTGAGAGTGTCTCAGTCACTATCTTGGAAGGGAAATCTTGAACATGTCTGGCCTGTAAAGCCTGCAAAGTACCTGCAGATAACCTAAACTCAGAGATGTGTTAAAAAGAATGAATATTTCACAGGTAAAACCAACCACTAAACAAGTTTAGGCTGGTTTAGGTAACTACCAAATATAAAAACTAGGCTCAAGGTCAGATCTTGTCTGCCAGCAAACCAGATGACAAATAAATACACTTGCTTATCTTATTTTGTAATGGTGCAGGATGCTGATAGTTGGCCATCTAAATATAGAATTTACCAAAAGCAGTGTCCCTCTACCACTGAGGTGGTTTTAATGCCAAGGTTCCACCTGCAGGCATAATGAGGTGTTTACACAGTCATTGTTTAATGACCAAGTCATGGGAAGAATACAGTCCCAAAAGGTCTGGTATTCTGCTACTGTCCCCTAGCACTTTATATTTTAGAATAATGTCAGTATGTATGTTCTTTTTGCATTATTATGCTGAAATGTTATGCATTATTTTGCATATTATGCATCTTCGTTTTGTTTTGTTGAATAAATGTTATTTTCTGAAAGCCCCTTCTAAGAGTAGTACTTGAGGTGTAGCCTCATCAGAGCTGAATACTGAGAGATGAGCACCTTCCTGCTCCTGCTGGCTACACTATTTTTGATGCCATTGGCCTTCTTGGCCACCTGGGCACACTCCTGACTCAAGTTCAGCAAAACATGGACCCTTAGATCATTTTTCTCCATGCAGCTTTCTAGCCACTCTGTCCCAAACCTGTTGCATTGCATATGGTTGTGACCAAAGTGTAGTTCCAGCCTTTGGTCTTCATAGAATCATAGAATGGTTTCAGTGGGAAGGAACCTTTAAGATCATCCAATTCTAAACTCCTTGCTATAGGCAGGGACACCTCCCACTAGACCAGGTTGCTCAAAGTCCCAAGCCTGGCCTTGAATGCTTCCAGGGAGGGAGCATCCACAAACTTGCTGGGCAATCTGTTCCAGCATCTCACCACCTCATAGTAAAGAATTTCTCCCTCATCTCGAGTCTAAATCTACCCTCTTCCAGTTTAAAACCATTTCCTCTTGTCCTGTCACTACATGCCCTTCTAAAATGTCCCTCCTCAGCTTTCCTATAGGCTCCTTTCATGTACTGGAAGGCTGCTATAAGTTCCCCCCGGAACTTATCTTCTCTAGGCTGTAGAGTCCCAAATCTCTCAGCCTGTCCTTGCAAGGGAGGTGCACCCGCCCTCTGATCATCTTCATGGCCATCCTCTGGACCTGCTCCAACAGCTCAATGTACTTCCTGTGTTGAGGTCCCAGAACTGTCTTGTTGAACTTCATCCCATTGGCTTCAGCCCACTGATCCAACATGTCCCCGTCCCTCTGTAGGGGGGCCTTCCTACTCTCAGTTAGATTGACATTTCCCCCTAACTTGGTCTCATCTGCAAACTTAGTGAAGGAGACAGTTCCCATCAGTTCCCATCTCTACGTACTCCATAGGGAATGCTGCAAGCAAATGAAAAAGCATTCTGGCCACCAAACTCTAAATTGTATGTAGTCTCTGAACAAATTATTGTCCTGCTTTGGCAGTCTTTTTTGATGATTGGACTTGGTGATCTTGCAGGTCTTTTCTAACTCAAACAATTCTATGATAGGGTTGCCTATGAACAAATTGTTACTGGAGATGCTCTTCTAGAACCTAGAACTAAAATCCTTCAGTGAGATCCTTCCTGAGTGAACAATGGGGCAATCGAAATTATACACAGCTCTGCGGAGCTTCTCCTCAGGTTGACTTGGAACTTGTGATGGATAGTAAAGTTTGTATTGCCTTAGGCTCTGTACACGTTCACTTGTGAGTGCTAATTAATCCTGTGGGGTCATCTGAGTATATTGCGCTGTGGGAGGAGCTCCTGTGTGCCTAGCAACAACTTCTGATGCAAATAGGAAAAAAAATGGAAAAACAAGAAGTGGGAACAGTAATATGATGCAATTGTTACAGAACTTTGAAGAGAGATAGAATATACTCATGCAGTTTTTCTCTGGTTTTTTTTGTTTTTTTTTTTTTTTTTCTATTTGGCTTCTGTGTAGCATTTTATGAATGAAATTTGGATCTAGAATCATAGAATACCAGGAGCTGAAAAGGATCATGAGGATCTAGAGTCTTTAGTTGTTCCAAAGAATGCGATCCTTATTTTAAAAGCTGTGGATGGAAAGCAAGGTATCTGCTGCTCTGCTGGAGCTGTGGTCCATCAGTGCGCCATGTGCAGACTCAAGCTGGGACAGCACAGGGCATCTGCTCCACCAAGAGTTAGTTGCTGCTGTTCTGCAAAGAAATCATTGTTCAACCAGCAGCACAATGCTGCCCTGTTGCAAAATAAGCTCAGCAGCTGTTCTTAACCATCAAGCCGTTCCTGCGCAGGCGGGATCTGAACCTTAAGCCCAGCTTTGTATTTTGTCATTACTCCAACGTGCCTTAGCTTGTTCTGCAGACATTTCTAATTAGGCAGAGGAAAGTTCAGCCTGTTTATGTATCACCTCTTGATTAAGTGCACCTTTTAGTTGCATGCATCATGTTTTATCCTTCTCTAGACTTTTTTTTTTTTTTTTTTTTGGTGTAGCACATTACAAGATTTCCTTATTTTTTTTTATTTTTATAATTTTATAATTATTTATAAAATAATTATTTGCACTTTGCCATGAATTAGTAATAAACCCCTTTTGCAAACATTTTTATCTTGTTGCTTATTTTGGGAGCAGACTTTTTACTCTGCATTTGCACTACGCCAAGTTTAACAGGCACTAAGACCTCCAGGCACTGTTGCTCTCCCCATGTTGATAGGGAGGCCGAGATACCGATGCTCCCTCCCTAACGAAAGTGACATACAGTACTTTTTTATGAGGATACACAGTGATTACAGCACGAGATGCCAGGACACAGTTCTATCTTTCTGAGGTCTCTCTTTAAGCCTGCCAAAAGGATGAGGAGGATGTGTTACCAGAGAGTATGATTTCAAAAGCACTAATGGATGAGCAGCAAAGAAGCTGCACTGCACTGTAACCAGGGAGCATCTAGACACCTTTTCCTTAACCTCTACAAAAAGCAAGGCCCCTCTCTGGTGACTGGAAGGACTAGACATAGACTGACAGGAATATGATGTGCTTAAAATCGCAGAGTAAAATATATTTTATAAGGTAATGGCCTACTGGGAGATGGCTAACAATGATGATACAGCCAGACTGACCTGCCTTACTGAGCAGGCTGGGAACACCACACACAGCAGATTCACTGGCACCCCTGCCACAGTCTACATTTGAACAGACCAATGTTAGATTCTTCCCCTCTGCCTCATGGCACCACTTCTTCCTTTTGGCACAGCTGGCTTCATATTGTTCTAATTATTTTGGCCTATAGTAAGGACAATACTCAGAGTTCTCTGAATTGAGTTTTGAAATCCTTTTAAAAGATTTGTGATGAATAAAGCAAGAAAATCAGAAATTGAGCCCATATTAGTAAGAAGTGTCCCACAGCACATGAAGCCTGAATTGTCGTTTTGCATCTACCCACATGAGCTTTGGTGACAGTGTTGATGTGCTGACACATCAAAAGATCCTGCTGTGTTTGTTTTTAAACAGGTCAAAGCCCAGCAGTTGATCACTCAGCAGTTGATCACTCTGCATGCTTATAGGCTCTGTGTCCAGCTACAAATGCAAGAGCAGGAACTCAGCACTGAGACAGATGAGATATAAAATGCAGAGCTGCACAACAACTGCAAACAGTACGGCTCAGATTGCAGGTGCCATTTAGCAGTGTCATTTGGAACTGCAACTCCAAATTCTCCAGATAATCCTGTACATGTCAGAACAGTTCCTGAAACAGTGAGCATCTTATTATATCTGTAATAAAGCCTTGCATTTTTCATATGCAAATGCAATTAATTATTCAAATTATACTGAAACGTGTGTAGTTTTTAGTATGCTCCTTTGGAGGTAAAGTATAGAAACAGTCACAATCCTGAAGAAACTCTGAACTTGTTCCAAAGGACAACTCTGGTTGTCCTCAAAGCAGATCCGTGGCTTGCGAAACACAAAGCTTCTTCAGTGTCCTCCTTCTTGTCCTCATCTCATTTGCCTATTTGACACATGAAAGGTGTCTTTTGTATCCAGTGATGCCCACAGAAGCGGGGAAGATAGGCTTGTTGGGATTCCTTGCTTGCTTTTGGTGGTTGTCACTGCTTGGCACACCAGCTATTTAACATGTCTGTGGCAGAAGTAGATGTACAAATGGAAGCTTGTCATTGAAATTGTGTTGTAATTCGGAAGGTGTTCACGTTCTCGTGCAATCTAGCAAAAAAATCACATCTTTGTGTTCACACAATGGCCACGCTCCTCTCTGGACTTGGTGAAAATGTCAGTGGCATGCCTCCAACCCAGTCTGTTTTTTTCTGTTATCACAATGCTCTTCCCTCACTACTGAGCATGTTCATAGACTAATCTGCAGATCATGCAGGCTTTCAGGAAATCATCTGCAGGAAAGTGATCTTGCCATTTAGCTGTTCACCAACAAATCTATGTTGCCCCTCCTCAAATACCAATACCTGGCCTGCCATAGCAGGGGTGCTCATAAGCCACCCAAAGCTGTTCTATTACTTTTACTGAGGAAACAGTCATTCCAGTGCACATCTTTCAGATTGGCAATGTCACTGGTGAATTGTTTGGAGGATCCCTGGAAGCAGGCATTCTCATAGAGGGTGTTCTTTGCCTTCTCGGCTGTAATTCTGTAGTTTGGATTTCTTGCTGTAGAAGTTGGATGACAGCCTGCAGGAAAAGAAAACAGGAAAAATTATACTAGTAAGAAGCATTTCTGACAAAATGGACAGGAAAAATGGCAAGGACAAAAACGGAAGGGACAAAAAAGGAGAGGAAAAAAAAAAGGATAAGAGAACAAAACAATTCTAGCAAAGGATAAATGTTACAGCTGCTGGACAAAACAGAGAGCACTATGTCAAAATTTGAATTTGGAAAAGTAAAATGAGATATGCACATCAAAACTGTTCTTATTTAGTCAAGCATGTTGGTTTATATATATGCTCAAATAACACCTGAGTTTAGTATCTTATCGAAGCACCTTATATAATAAATAAAATATGAATTGAAAGACTGATCACCAGTAATATAGTTGACATTGCATTTGAGAGTTATTTTAGAAATCAGTGATGTTTGTTTGGACCGGATTTCACAACTCATAATACTACAAGTAAAAAAAAAAAGTGAAACATTCAATTATCTTCTGAATGAAAGTGCGATTTACTGACTGATAGAAAGCTAATTTAGTGACCTCCTATCTGTACTACCAGTGCTATTATTAATAAAAATATTTTTAAATAAACGAGTTGATTTCTGACAACATAAACATTCCAGTCCCAAGATTCATTTGTAAACTGCTTCCTTTCTCCTCACTCAGTGGTCTCTCCCAGCACCACCTCCACTCCTTTTCTAGGTATCGTTATCCTGCTGCTGTCTTCCCACTACCGTATCAAGCTTCTGTAAATCCAGACGTCAGATCCATTCATGTTACAGCTCTCATCTCAACACTCGAACCTGATCAACTTTATTTCACAGTAGCCGCCCAAGAAACCATTTTGTTTCCTTTTAGAAAGCACACATTTCTCTTCTATGCCAGCTTCCAGATGTGGAGAGCTGTTAGCACTTCATCCGGTCATAGCTGGCACAGCAGTCTCAAAACATGCCATATAGCAAAAGTGAGAAGGGACTGATATTACCCTCAAGGATCAGAAATCAACAACTTTGTTCTGCTCTTCCTGCTCTGACTCAAAAGTCCACTGAACTGTGACTGGTCTCTTGATTCTTGATTGTCTTCACTCATGAGAAGTCAGTTGGATCACAGTAATAAAAACACGTCAAACATTTTGTGATCAACGAGCTGCAGAAATTTTTGCTGAACTTCACATTTTTGCTTACTTTGTAAGTGCATCTAATACATGCTAGTTTTCCAGAGGGTTTCCATGTGAGATATCGTGGTAGTAAAATGATCACACTTAAGATATGAGAGGTCTGGGTAAGAAGTTTACACCAGTGAAAACAGCATTCCTGTTTTCAAGCCTCTGGTTGTTCCCACTTCTCAGCTAGGACCATATGGGATGTACCACTCCCACAGGCTCTGCCAAGAGCCAGCTCCATATTGTCAGCTGTGGCAGTTAGCAAAGCCACCTCTCTCTCAGCAATGGTTTCTCAGCCATGTTAACATTTAAGTTATTGTCCAGAGTTCATTCCCCACCCCAACCCCCACCCGAGGATGCATACCTGCTGTGTTAACATTCGACTTTTCCCCTCACCTGTCATCTTGGAACAACATGAAGTCACATCACTGTAGTCACTTGGCAGCTCCACCAGGGCACCCATCTGAATGTGTCCTCCCTACAATTATAATTAATAAAAGCTTCGCTCTGACTTGTCCTTAATTGTACTTTCGTTATTACACACTTGGAGTCCTTATATTCACCGACAATATCCAGGTGATAGAGGTGGCATTTAAACAGCTTTCTTTAAATTCTTTCTCCCTGCCCTCCTAAGTAGCTATTTCAGCAATCACAGGAGCACAAAGCTGGTAGAGCAGAGCAAAGCAGCTCTGGCAAAGTTGCAGTATGAACATTTTTGCTTATTTTCTGAACCATCACTTTATCCCGTAATACATTTTCACACACAGTAATTGGTCAGCACGCTAACAAGGTAAGCTACTGTGGGAGGAAACACTGGGAGTTTAAGAGCAATTCAGATCTTGCAAATGCAGCAGTAAAACCAACAGATTTCCTTTAAAGGCTTGTTTTGCCTCACCCATCTCAGGATTTTGAAATGAAACAACAGCCTGATGAATGGCATTGATTGTGTAAGAAGAAAAACAACAACAAATAAAAAGCTACAGTAGTGGTGAAAGCAAAGAGCAAATGTTTATCTTCACAGAAAGATTCAGGTGGTTTCCCCACCTCTGGAAGTCTGGAGTCCAACCCCCAGCCCACAGCTGTGCTGAATCTAAAGATAAATCTGGTTGCTCAGCACCTTTCTCTCGTGACTAGTGAACAACTCCAAGACTGAAGCTTGCCCAGCCTCCCAGATGCTGTGGCTCTCTAAGATAGTATTCTCCTCAACGCCAGAAATGAGAAAGCTCATGGAAAAAAAAAAGACTCAAAGGGAAGATTTAGTGGTTATTTTAATCACATACCCATGAGCCCAAGAGCTCAAGCATGCCTTGCATATGGGCAGACTGAAAGGGCAGTGAGTGCAGAAAAGGACTGAAAAGTCAGGAGCTGTGAGCCACACCTTTGTCCAGCAGAAGGCCTGAAAAGATGTACTGCTTACAGATACAGAGCAGGTGCATGCAGGCTGCCCTAGACTGTCATTAAACATAACGTCCTCCAGGAGCAATATTTAACTAGCAGGACATCCTTCAAAGCCATCATTATGTGGTGCTCCTGTGCAGGCTGTAGGATGATGTTCCAGACAGTCCTGCTATCAGGTACACCATGATTGGAAAAAGATAGGGAGTCAAGGCAAGGAGAGCTCACCTCTGCCAGAGAGAGCATGCCAGCAGTAGCTAAGCCCTTCTGCTGCATCTGTTTCCCATGCTGCTTGTCTGGGCCCAAATTATCTATTTAAAAGTAAAGGTCAGCTTCTATGTTATTTTTTATTCTGAATTCAATTGCACAAAAATTACTCATAAGTTGGAAAAGAACTTCTGCTTAGCTTTATTGCTTTTTGAAATCAAGAGGCATTTAAAATGAAAATTATCACAGTATGAGGAAAACTTCCACCGCCAAAGACAAATTGAGAGGTGGCAACACTTTCAGAAAGATACTCAAAGAGCAATCTGAAAATCTCCTCAAAGTCTCAGATAGCAAGAGAGTAATCCTAGCACCATCTCAAGGGATCAGTTTCAGTAGCATTACAACTTGAGTTGGAACCTAAAGTGATCAAGACCATTTATTTAGTCCACATCTAGCCTACAAACAGGAGGGGAATCAACTCTTTGAAAGGGTAGATAACTGCAGGACAAGGGGAAATGGTTTTAAGTTGAGGGAGGGGAGATTTAGGTTGGATATCGGGGAAATTCTTTACAGAGACAGTGGTGAGGTGCTGGAACAGGCTGCCCAGAGAGGTTGTGGATGCCCAGTCCCTGGAGGTGTTCAAGGAAGGGGCCCTGGGCAGACTGGCCTAGTATTGAATGCAGAGGTTGGTGGCCCTGCATGCAGGGGGGGGTTGGAGATTCATGATCCTTGAGGTCCCTTCCAACCCTGGCCATTCTGTGATGCTGTGATAGTACCTAATGCTACTGAGTTATAATAATCACAGCAGCAGGAAGGAGGCCTGACACTAACTTCGTGAAGAGGAACAGGACATACTGCAAGGATAGGTCAAAATCCCAAGAACTCGATTTGAAGGAATCTAAATTATTTAAGTTTTTCTTTCACAGAGATTTGTAATGGAAACATTAAGACAGATCTGAGTAGGGAATGACAGTGTCAGTCTATGAATATAAGTACCAGAAGAAACAAAAAGCAGGGGATTGATTGTAAAGAATGGCAGGTGTCGGTGGCATTTAGATCAGTGTCATCAAGCACAACAACATGTAACTTCTTGAGATACTCAGATCAGATCAGCCTCCACCAAGACTAAACAAAAGGACAATCTGGAGAATCAAGTCATCCTTTCCAACCTCAACGATTCTGTGATTACAGGAAGAGCCCATGAGACAGAAAGGAAACAAAGCAAAGGGCAGAAGGTGAATTCCAATGACTGATAGACAAGAAGATTAAAGATCAAAATCACAGTCTACTTCTAAAATGTACGAAAGACACATCCAAAACTCTAGATCGCTTATTTAGGAACAATCCTGGAGACATGATGCCAGTGCCCCTTGTGCTCCAAGTAGTGCAAGCCATGGAACTGGGATACATGTATCTCGATTGCTTGTGTTGCTGTAGCAGTAGGACCAAGTAAGAACAGGAATTTCATCTTAAAATGAAATGTACATTCCCATCCAATGCTGTCTTCCCCTGAATTTTATGTCAGTGTTACTGCTACGTAGCAACACTGTATATTTCACTCTCAGCTAGAAGAGAAGCAGCCTGCACCTGAAGCAGGTTCAGTTTTAGCTGATTTGTTCTTGTAGAGTCAGTCTGAACACAACAGCACCCAGCATCACAGTGCCATCTCTGCAGTGGGATCCAGACTTCGGAAGGGAAGAAAGGAGGTCAGCTCTTCCTTTCTCAGCAGCAATGCACCCTCCCTTTCCTTTCCAGAATAGGGTTGAGACACTGCCCTGTTATTCCTCCCTCAAATGATGCAGAGCAGGTACATAATTCTCCCCAACAGCTCACTATTAGCTAATGAAGTGATCCTGTTGCAGGCTGTAGTGCATATGGCAGAAGCCAAGGGAATGGCATAGAACCATAGAATCACCAAGGTTGGTACAGACTTCTAAGATCATCCAGTGCAACTGCCCACCTACTACCAATGCACCCCCATTAAACCGAACACTCCAGGGATGGCGACTCAACCCATCTCCCTGTGCAGCCCATTTCAGTGCCTGAGCACTTTTTCAGATAATAATAGTTTCATAATATTCAACCTGATCCTGGCACAGTTTGAGGCCATTCCCTCTGGTCCTATAAGCCTCTCTGCCCCAAGCCTGAAGCACTGCCTGGAGTTGTTATGGCTAAAGCGCAGGATCTGGCACTTGTTGAACTCCATAACAGTGACCTCAGTCCAGCAATCCAGCCTGTCCAGATCCCTCTGAGGGGCTTTCCTGCTCTCAGGCAGATTGACACTCCCATCCCAGTTTGGTGTCATCTGTGAACTTACTGAGAATGCACTCAGTCCTCTCATCTGGATCATCGATAAAGATACTAAAAAGGATAGGCCCCACATGCAAACAGACAGACAGTCCCTCAGTCTCTGGTGCCATCCTTTAAGTCCTGGCCAGGGGCTATGTCCCGACAGGATCCATGTCCTGACAGGGTCCTGATTCTGCCTGCTACTCCAGGCTTCACCTGTGCTTGGCCACCAAGACTCGGTGCATGTTTAAGACGACAAAAAAGAGCTGGAGACTCAAATCTCAGACAAGTCTGAGACGACGTATATTCAAATGCACACACTCATTACAGTTGGTAGCTTCATTTCTGAAAGAACACAACAAAAGTCAAAAAATTATTTTTATCAAAAATCAAGATGCAAAACCAGCATTCATTACTGACAAAACTGGAACAGCTGCATCTGAGAGAAGCAAAGTAGCCCAATGTCCAGAGGAATCAAGCCAAGGAAAGGTTTAAACAACACGTCTCTCAAATCTTATTTTATCAAGTGTGTACAAGAAAATTTTAATTTCTAAATTATTTTAAAGAAAGGAGATTAATATGGCCCACAAATCACTGCTCTCAGGCTCTCAAAACTGTTACATTACTGTCACATCACTGTTAATACAACTCTAAGTATTAATTCATCAATAGTACAAAGCAATTGTGAAGAAACACCCAAATATTCCAATGTTACAGAACAGCAGTTCAGTAATTCCCTTTTTGTCAAGAAAGTCAATATAAAATTTCTAATAACTGAGAGATTATAAGATAGAGTTATCTAAAGTAGAAGTGACTTAACACGTTCCTGACTTATTTTTCAACACTCAATGAAAAAAAAAAAAAAAAAAGAAAAAGGTTAAAACGCAGAATGTCTCCAATTATGTTGGCTTACATGAGATGAAAAAAATATTTATCAGTTTTATATTTATCTGTTAAAAAATAAGTCGCATCCTCTAGCAGGCAACCTCCATCCCACCTACTAGCATTAAAATCAGCAGCTGTGTTTCCAGTATCACTGCAACTAATGATTATTTGGAAGGCATTCTCACTTAAATATGAATCCAGGCTGTTGTTTGTGAGCCTGCTTCCCACATAATCCCCTGTGCAGAGCACAGCGCTCATTTCTTTTGCAGTGAGGAAGTTTCTTTTCAAGATGCTGATCTGGCCAAAAAGAACAAGTTTTGCAGCCTGAATGATAGTGTCCAAGAAAAGAAAAGAGAGAATAAGCAGAGAGGAGGAATGTTCAAAAGAAAAGAGACAGAAGCTGCCTAGGCTATTATAGATTCACGCCATCACTGAAGAGCAATATTTTAAGCTTGCTTGTATATTTTACTCATGAAATCACTTAGTTGTGTTCTTGATTATATAAAATGACATAATTCAGCACAAAACATTTCCATCTTTCTCAGCACCTGCAAACTTGGAACACCCTTGGGACAGATTTATTATAGTCACAGAAGTAATATTAGGAGCAAATCTGAGGGTCTGAACTGTGTGTTCAAGGTGTTACAGATTGAAGCAGGCAACAACAACCTCCTAAGTCCCCCACACTCTCTCTGCAGAGCACCAAAGCTGGCAGCGGGGCTTCTTGTGGCTCCAAGAGAAACTAAGAGGTGATACACATGAGATGGGCTGACACAAATCCTTGCCAAAAATCTTTACATATAGACTCACAAGCTCACAGAAGAAAAGAGCCCCTGGTATCAAAGGCCATCTGTCCTAGTGCTTTGGGGATAAAAAGAAAATAGATTGTAAAGCCTCTTGTCTCATTTACATGTGCCTTCAGCACACAGAAGTAAGCCATTGAACAAAGGAGGCTGCCACAGGGGGAGCTAAGAGATGGAGATTGTTTATTAAATATTATTATGAAGTAATGAATATTTACCGTGGTTTTTTTTCTTGTAATGGGTAATGAAGTTAACCAAACATTTTGTGTTTTTCTTCCCCGGTCTACGAAAACAACCACCTAAAATCAGTTAAAAAAAAAAAAAGGAATATGACAAAAATAGAAAAAAACAAAACAAAACCCTTTTCTTCCCTGCCTTCGGAGTACAAAAGAGAAGAATGAGGGCGATGAGTGTAAACATGCAAAGTTTGTGAAGACATGGGGAACGGAACGACACAATACAAAAAATACAAGACGTGAACAAATGAAGACTTTTCTGATTTGAAACACAAATGACTTCAGGATTTTTATATTTTTCACACAGCTGGTTTTTTTTTTTTCTTGACCAGAACTCATGCTGAGCTTATTTATCAGAAGCACATTTTTTATTCTCCCAGAGGACTATTTAAATATTCACCACTACTCTGAAACATTTATTTACTTTTATTTCTTCTTTGGCTGACTTCATTATCATTGTATTGTTCTAGTCTATTTTCCACCACCTTGCAGATGGATAAAACAATTTAACTTGAAGCTCTGGATGGCAATTATGCTCTGCTTCCCTTTCAAAGCCGTTTTGAAAAAGGCAAAATAGTAGAAAAATCAAATTAAACTTTGTCCAACTCCATATCCTCTCCTCCCTCCCACCAGACCTTGTTGAGAAAACCCTGCAGGTACCTTGGTTAAAATAAATAATTAGAAACAATAACAAATACACAAACAAAACACAAAAAGCCCTCAATTATGAAAAATGAACAGAAGACTGACCAGTGAACTCAAACAGTGTGACAACATACAAGCCATTTCCAAGAAGTGAGAGTCCTCACCAGGTAGCTACGGACCAAAAAGCAGAACCATTGCATTTTTCTTCAAGTGTCAGATCTATCTGCTTGCTTGAAAAGGCTCTGCATATTAGCAGTGGTGTCTCTGGATCAATTGTTTCTGATGATGAATTTAATTTTTTTTTGAGAACAGAATGGGAAAGTTTTATACATACAAATTGAAAGCAATCCAGGTATAATCATCAGCCCAAATTAT